GCGTGGCACACACACACACACACACACACACACACACACACACACACACACACACACACACACGCCTGTTGTCACTAACAACACCTGCACACGTTCACTGTTGTTCCCATGCAGTTCACCAACAGGTCCGAGACGAGCTTGTTTACAGCAGTTGAAGAGAACAAAAGGAAACAAACAAAAGCTCTTTGAGATGGAGATTAGGTAATGTAGATGTTTGTCCTTCAACCATAGGGCCCATGCTCAAACAACGACTTGGGGCTGTGCTGGAGAATGACTTTGAGAAGGAGCGCGTCCATTGAGAGAAGCAGTGAACGATCAGGTGGTCTGCTGGGCTCCTGTAATGAACAACCTCAGCCAAATCCAGCCAGGCATGACCGGCAAATTAACATGCAGCAGCTTTCACACTCTATCCCCACAGATCTGCCCCAGCCAGTGAGCAGAAAACCAATACAGGGCCGCTCTGGAAATAGCCCCGACCACAGATTGCACTTTCAACTCCAATACCACTGCTACCATGACCTCTGGTCCTGGAACTACACAGGAAATGAGACTTAAACTACAAAATACTTCACTGAAACATCATAAAGCATAACGGACAATGAACTCTGAGGGGTCCGTTAACTCAACTTGTGTACAAATATTGTAATATTGAAATTTAAGATGACATATGAAGCAAATTCTCATACAGGTTATGATGTTTAATGTCACTGAAAGATCAGAGCTGTATACATTTAACGGACATCACACGAAGGAATTCTTCCATCTAGGGCAAAAGTTATTCTTGTAAATCGAATGACTAGTAGAAAAAAACCCCCGCTGTCAGCAATTAAAAGAGGCCAGCTATACTCCCTCAAGTCCCTGTCCCGTCCTCCACAGCACCCCGTCTCTCACCACTGCTTCCTGTCCACACAGGAAGCAGCAGCACCAGAAGGAAGTCCTTACTTAGCTGAAAGCGCGGTGGAATCAGGGAGGTTTCGGGGGACATCGACGTGGAGGCCCTTCTATCAGCTGCTGGACAAACAGAGCAGCCTTATCTTCAGCTGCACACGAGTGGAAGAACAACAGAGAGCATGCAGAGCTCGGTAGTGACCTCCACTTTGGTCGTACTGGTCTTGACATTGAAGGTGTGCTGTGATAGCAGAGAGATCCGGGCTAGCCGTGTTAACACTTCTGTTCGAGCAAACTGAAAACTGTGATACTGGCCGTCACAGCTGTGCAAGAAATCAATAAAACAGCAAACATGCCACTAGGATTGATGCATGCATGTCTGACCCCAAGCATGCATCGGTCGACAAACAGTTCAAACCCTGAACATCTAAAAGATGCCGTGTTCTAAAAGGGATTCCTTCTTTCCAATGACTTCCACTGCTACTGCAAGCAGAGTTTCACGCTTTGCCTAAAAGTGCATAATTGCACATAAAGTAATGTCACAAAATATAAAAAGAGATAATGTGCACTTAAAGTCTGTTTTTCATTCCTAAGTTGTTGTTTTTAAATGACCAGTGGACATTTATTTAGTTAATAATTGTTTTCTTTAAAATAAGTGCACTGCAGACAGAGTGCAGATCTATTTAACCCTTACATACTGTTTATATTTAATGCCTTCACAGTATGGCTCGGGTCAATTTTGACCCAGAATTCCCTCATAGTAAGTGTCCATACCAAATTTTTAACTACAGATCTATTTAGAATGTCTAAATAGCTTATGTCTCATTAATAACTGTATGATTAACCCTTAATAAATGTGTCAGAGAGCAGGGAGAGTGTATTTTTTAAGTTTTACAACATTCGTTTTTGGACAAAAACATCTACTATTACACATTATCATGTCCTGTTTTACATAAGACATAAAAGCCATCATGATTTAAATATATTGTATTTGAAAATGACATGAACATTCTGGAACTGTTGGAGTTTATAATATAACCATATTCAAAGACCAGCAGGTGTCTGTCTCTGCGGGAACCTGTGCAAATGTTGTTGGAACACAGACAGTTCTCGTGACAGTGTCGAGGCCCCCCTTGAACTCTGTCACCACTGTTCCATAACAAATACACATAGACATGGCCTGTACAGTTTCAAGATTCCCTAAAACCACCATTTTCCTTGACTTGACCCACACTGGTAGATCTAAAATCCATCTCAATAGATACGGGTCAAATTTGACCCGAAACAGCCTCAGTGTACAAAAACTTGTAGCACCTGTTCAAAAGTATAACATTTTAAATATTTTCATTTTTGTGTATTTTGGGTCACTTTAGGAAAAGTCATCAAATGTCAGGCTAAAAGAATGACGTTTAGGGTATTTGTACTGCTGTCAAACGGGTCAAAAATAGACAATGCAGTGTTAACTACATTTTCATTAAAGTTCAGCATTTTTGTCTCTCATTTGTTATTATAATTAAATTGTTGTAATCAGAAAAACAACATAAAACCAACAACAATATCTCTGCATTATACATCAGCCGCCCTGTTCTCCAAACATCAGCATCAGCCAGTGAGAAGCCCATAGTGGTCAACCTCCAGTATAAATACCACGAGTCCATTAGACTACATATCAAACTGCATTACAATCCTTAGATACAAACTCTTCGGGTACAGAGCGATACTTGAGCATAAGTGACCTACTTTGAAGTTCTGGAGAGAAAGCACATCGTACAGTATGTTGCACTTATAACGAATCCATTGCTGTTTTCCTCCATTCAATACAATTCCCTCCTGACAACTTCCTCCCTTTCCACACTCTCCCAAAGTACCTACTGGCCCTGTTCTGTCTGTGGTACTATGCATATGAATAACAGAAGTGAATCAGTACAAATATACAGTACCGGTACTATGAAGGTCATCTTGGTTGTAACAGAATGAGTCTACTCAGGTGGGATGCAACAGAAAAATGTATACCTGCGTACCTAAAATACAACTGAAGTTATACTATAAAGTCATGTGGACTCAGTTCAGCAAAACAGGATGTACATAAACTATTTAGCATGCATGTGGATTTGACATTCAGACTCATAGGGGCAAAGAAATCCACTATACGACTCTTTTAGATTGATCAATGAATGAAACAGGTTCCATTATGTGTAATACAAAACTCTAATGTGCAGCACAAGTAATGTCTCTTTAGAAGACCATAAACTAGGACAGGGGTTGTAACAACAGTCACACAACCGCCTTGTGACAGCCATAAACACTGCACTTCCTTGTCCAATGAAAGAAACAAAAAGGAAATCACCAATTTAGTTTCTTCACGTTTATATTTTCTGTTTCCACATCAGTAAAATACACAACATCCCTAGGATAGAGTCACTTGATAGCAGCTCAACCTGCTACAGATCTAGAAGAAAGCTGTATTCTCACTTCAGCATTAAGCATACAAACATATGTGAGCTGTGTTTGTCAGGTGTCGAGCCAGAGTTGCAAATACTAGCCAGGATAACACGGGACTAAATGACAACAAAGGCTTGTGATGGGCATCTGCTTCTGAGGCGACTGACAAGGCAGCATCAGCTAGCATTGGCTAGCTAGTTAGCCACAAGGGGAGCTAGCTCACATTAGCTAGCATCCATGCCTTATCTCAGTGAGTCTTGTCTGATATTAGAACGTAAAAAAAATCAATGAAAACTTGTGGTGAGTGGCAAACACTTCCAATTCCGGAGGTGTTTTTTGTGCGAAATGATTTCCCCTGTCAGCTGGCTCGCATTCGCCACCGCAGTGACAGCCAGCCAGCTAACCTGACGCCGTGTTTGACGTTAGCTTGTCTGCTGATGCCAGCTAGCTAGCTCGACTAGCTAACAGCTCAGCGGTGCAGCATCAGAAGCCCCGGTGTGACATTTCACTCACCTAACAGGGACCGGAGGTGTTTGAGCCGGGTCAGTACATCCTTCTTTGGGTCCAGAACTTTCTGTGTAGATTTCTTGACGTCTCCATGCCCCCTTCGAGTGAACATACCGCTGTGAAATGCAACCGTGGAAGCTGAAATCACCTGTGTTTCACCATACACCGAGCCTCCAGTGCGACTGTCACTTTCCTCACCACCGCTCTATGCCTGCTCGGTAAACATTCGGCCGACGGCCGCTAGAGTCCTGTTGTTGTGTTTAGTGGGTGTGTAAACACGGAAGCGCAGCCTGACAGAGAGGAGTGGTCAGATGATATGAAGAATACGCCTCCTTGTTTACAACCGTTCCACCTTGCACTTCCAATGGGCTTGTTTTCATGCATGTTAACCTTTCAGTATACTTAACACATTTGTAGTTTAACGCCCTGTGAAGAAGGTTTCGTCACGTTCGAGTCCCACACTGTCAACGTTACCTCTTGGAAAAATGGGAACGACAAGCATGTGTGCAATGTCTCGCAGTGAACTTTAGGTTCAAGACTGGCACCCATCTTCAGTCTAAAAGACAAGCGATTCCACTTTATTCCACACAATAGACGTCTGATAATAGGAGATTGGAGTCTGGCTGTTTAATAGCTCCCAAGCGCCCTCTGGTGTTTGAAGTAGGTAAGCACAAATCGCCGGGAACAACAGTATATAAATATATGGGAATGAAGAGGACAGATGGACTTGCTTCAACGTAAATAGAAAACATATTGTACACCATGGCCTGTATGTTTGGGATCATTCTGTAACCAGAAATTATTTCCATTTCGGATTTATATGCAAATTATTTTCTCGATAATAGTTTGATGCATACAATTTCAGAAAAAAATGTTAAAATTCCCATCGTAGCCTACTTTACAAGTGCTTGTTTTGTCCGCCCCACGGTCAAAAACCCAAAGATCTTCAGTTCGATATATTAATATTTTAATATAGGTTTTTGCCTAAAAAAATACTTAACAATTAATTAATTAATGATCAAAAGTTGTTTAATTTGTAGTAGTTACTTAGTTTTCTGTCAATTCACTTATCGATTAATCTACTAATCATTAACAAACGAGACTAGTCATTTTCAGCCTTTCAAGGGCTTCAATGAAAGAGTTGGTAGTGTACGTGTTGGCTCTAAATGGACCAGAATCACCATTAATGTTATTGAAGCACGTGTGCGTTTCCTGCTATGAGAAGTGGGTAAATGTGTCTGCTGTAAAAAAAAAAAAAAAAAAAGGTCCATTAAATGTAGGTTTAGGTGTTTTATCTGACAGAATATTCTGTAGTATGAGTGTAAAATGATTGTTCATGTTTCTCATGCTGTATAAATGCACATCAATGCCTATCAAGTCTTACTGTAGTTATCTCCAGCTCAGAGTTCTCACATTATAGTCAAAGCCTGGATTAAAAATACTGCGGGTCTCATATCCACAATGAATGCACCATTTGTTGCAGTTATGATTGAATCAAGGACCCTAACTTCCAGATCAAAGGCACTTGTATTTTCTGATATTCACTATCCTCTACAGTGACACTTACAAAGAGAAAAAAGGTAGAACAGCTTCACTGCTCATTCAAGCCGCTGCCACTTGACACTTTAAACTGGAGGTTTTGATGAATTAATATGAATACAAGGGATTTTTGTTTTTAAATAGCAGAGCTCTCCTGCAGTTAACGTAAACTTAGGGTTATGATAAATTGAACAGAGTTTAGCGTGCTCGCGGCTTTAATGGATTTTCAAAAATAATTTGTTCTACATGGTTGTGCAGACAGCAAATTCCATCTTGGAAATGAAAACAACAAAAAAGTGTTTACGTTCTGAGATGAATCTTAAAGTTGAAGAAATTGGATGCATCCGTTAATCAACCCCAACAAACTGACATTCCGTGCAATCTCACATGTTCGCTTGTCTGAACCTATCTCTCTTATTTTGGAGGCAATTAATTTTGAGGCTAAGCTGGGAGAATTATTTTATTCACACATTTTAGACATATCTCATTGAAGACAGAGCTTAGACTGTAGAGTTCAACTTTGTGACTGAGAAATCTTTTCCGACTTGAAGTCTACTTATGAAAAAGAAATGGACATATAACCATAACCGTGCCATTGTCCCCCCTATCACATATCACATTATGCAATACTGCTTTTCACCCCAGACATAGCATTATAATATAAAGTCTACTATGATAAAAATAGGTTTATTTTTTCTATTTATTGAACTCAAGTGAGATTTTGGATGACCAAATTTACCAGGAGATGGCGCCTAAACCACCGGGGACAAACAAAGCAACCCGGTGAATCTGTTTATTTTCATGAATTAAAAAGTGCATATGAATGTGCTGCAAATACAGTTGTAAAAATCACTTACATAGCAAGAAAGGGAGGAACAATCGTCAAAGAAAATGTGAGACAAGTCTCAGAAAAAAAGGCCTTTGTTAGAATAACTCAACACTGAAAGCAAAATAAAAAGCATTGACAAGAATGTCAGTGTTAAGTAGTCGACTGTGAGGGATCTTGTACTCTCCAGAAAAGAAGACAAGACTGTATTTTATTTCATCTATACCACCCACACATATTGAGCCCTGACAATGTTGCGAGAGTGTTTGTCTCTCTTGTTCAAGGTTCTGCACAATGGATGTCTTGAGTGATAGGAGAGGGAACAGAGGGTGGTGAGAGCGGGAGGCCAAAGAGGAGGAGTAAAAAAAAAAAAAAAAAAGAGGAGTAAAATCAGCCTTTGCCCTGCAGTTTGGTATGACACTCATTATCTGAAGTGGGCCATTCTGAGGAAGGAGGAGGTTGCCTGTCACAACAGATGTTGATTACACAAAACAGGGTAGTTTGGAAGGATGCGTGAATAAAACACAAGCTCCCACACACACAAACAGCGTTATTGTTGGTGCTTTGTCACCAGTCTTAATTGATTGTAATCACCATTCCTTCTTGGCAAACCTCCCCTGTTCTTGAAGTGCAGGTTATTGCTCATTATCTAAGATGGCACGGACCTATACGATAATCTATCAACAATAACAATGGGACTGGACGTTTTCTTCCTTCTCTCATCCTGCACCTGGACGTGTTTTTCTTTTTCTTTTTCCGGTTCCAGCTCATTTCTGAAACGGCGTACCGTATAGGCTGAGACAATTCGACTTCATAGTCTGCTGTGGAGTTTAGTTCAGCGCCGAATTAGACAATTATGGGGCCAACTGTGACATTATTTTCGAATGAGATCGTTTATTTCAAAATGGGATTTCCAGAGTATAAACCCAGCATAATTTATTCTTTTTCATACAGGCCTAGAATTGCCAATTGCCAGGGCCTGGCAGAGGAATGAAAGCCTCGTCGTGACCAAATGGTGGCACTGTAGCCTTACAAATGTACACCCGGCTTCTCATGGCCAGGCTGTCGGACTGATTCCAATCCAAGGTTTGAAAAGCACTTGTCTGCTCTAAATTGTTCTTATAAAGAGCTTGGAAATACTTGACTTTTCTCCTTATGTGGTTATGGATTTCCTTTTTGTACAATTAAGTGCCATTAAAAGCTAATATATCCTGTTAAACCACATTAAGGTGTTGGGGTGGACAGTGGCACGGTTACCCATCCGCATATTGTGAATAGGAGCCCACTCTGAGCATTTTTTGAAATCTATATCGGGCCATTCAGAAACTTCACGATGAAAAGGATCAAAAGGGAACTGTCCACAGGGCTGCTGATTTTTTTCAGCCTGTGAGACCACCCACAGCCGCTTGACATAGATGAGCTCCGGAGCAATGAAATGATGAAACAAAACCAATCTGTGTTTGAGTCAACCGCAGGCTCGCAGGCGTATAGTGTCTCGTATGAAAAGCTTTTGAATTTTTTGTTTTTTTTGTATGAGCCCTCAGAAGAGTAATCATAAAAAAAAATATATTGATCAAATTATATTAAATACATTTAATTCATTAAATATATTTTAGGTTATATTAAAGTATAGATATATTTTATTGGAATCCGTGATTTGTCAACAGAAGGTTCTACAAATAAGGCACAAACAAGAGCCTGTAATTTGAGATTAAAGCTCCCACCAGGGGTCGTCACGGTGCCCTCGGCCGCCAAGGTTATCTCCCAATTAACAAGTTCAAAGCAGAATATCCAGAATGGCAGAGCCTCTTCCTTTTATGTAGAAATGCTGAAAAAGAGTGCGGGTTTTTCTAAACCCGCACTCCCGCGTTGAGTTCCTCACGTCTTCTTTTTCAAACACGACAAATGTGCAGCTCTGCACATGGATATAAGCAATTTCCAAATCTAGTGTTTGTAATGCACACCGCAGTTTGTAGCACATCTCCATAGAGGTTAATGAGGGGGCACTCTGAAGTAATTAAAACAAGAGCATTATAAGGCAGCAGTTTCACATAAGGCACTCATGGCAGCATAACCCATACTTAATTAAAACTCTTTGCTGACAGCATTCTGTATCTTCTCAGGTAATCTGCTGTGAAATTAATAAGGAGGGAGAATTAAATGACTAATGTTGGCAAAGAAAGGCACTTTTTTTTTTTGCCTGCCGTATGCATGACAGGGGTCTCTATCTGGAATGTGTGATCCTTATTGTGTTCAGAAATACTTCTTCAAGTTCTCACCGTAATCTGATTCCAATTTCACTTAAGGTGTGACACCGTAGCGACCAGCCGGGGGGGACGTTTAATTGAAATGTCCGTGCTTTTAATTGGATTCTGTTAAGATGTGAAATTACCTCCTGAAATACAGTCTTGTACCTTTAAATGCTGATACAGAACGGTTTCCAGCGGTGATCAGTTAAGGAGCTGAAATAATGCCTCCATTCAGCGGCGCGCGTCACTGTGCCGAGGCAAAAGAACATTCTCCAATCTGGAGACAAACTGTTCAAAACCTGGAGCCTTGCATTTCAAAGCCAGACAATCGTCCAGTGAAATGAATTCTCATTATTTATTCATTTTAACTGGATAGTGCTTGAGAGACAATGCAACACTTAAGCATGCTCCTGCTGTAGCAGACATGGGAGTCGAGGTATCCATTAATTTACCGATATTTTTCTGCAGTCATGATGCACACTGCTCTTTGTCATGATACTGTATTTAGACCAACAGAATCACACAGTGGCTGCAAGATATCCATCGCAAGGCAAGTGAACCAGGCATTCATGATATCATCTTTGAGCTGAAGGTGCTAGCATCTGACATGTTCAGGTGACGTGTGGGTGGTAGGCAGCAAAGCTTCCCTCACCTCCTTGAGGGTTGCGCTCTTCCGACCCCCTGCATTGAGATTTGTAAATTTTCCCATTCTAGGAACCGTGTCACCCTGCTGTGGCCGCGCAAAAAACATCCCTGCCTCCTCCACCTACATCCATGACCCCCTCTGATAAGCTTGGAGTTCATCCCTTTCACTGATTAGTTTGCTGGCAGATTGAATGCCCATGTCTGCGGCCCCGTGTCACCCCAAGCTGGCTCTACCTGTGTGTGGTTGGATCAGCAGGTGGCTGGCACACCGTCCAGCGTGATACTGAAACCATTATTTATACATAACGGTTCTCCGTGCGCTCAGCAAAGCCATGTTTCCCGCCTTGGGAATTAGCCGCCTTGGTTATTTAATAATTCCAGAAAAAAAAAAAAAATAGATAGTGCCTTGATTTATGCCAGAGATGCACCGTTTTGGAATAACTTGCAAAAAATGTTCTGTGCGATTCTAGGATTCATATTCTGCGCGAGTGAGGATCCTGAAAATGGGAGGGTCATTAGTAACTTGTTTGTCCAAATCCCCTCTCTTCTGTCTGTGTGTGTGTGTGTGTGTGTGTGTATGTGCGGTTTGCGTGAATTCACATGTGTTTGTTTGTTTTCCGTGCCACGGCTGGCCCAAGCCAGAGCCACGGGAGTGTGAAATAACAAGCACAAGAGGGATTTCACGCCTTTACAGAGCTGAAAAGCTATGTTTTTGTCAGACAACTCAGTCCATTTCCATCCCCGACAAACTTTGTTTGCTTCCCACTAGTCACTGCCTATTTCCTAAAAAAAAAAAAAAAAAAACACCATACAATTAAAGGGCAGCATTATATATGGGTTCCCACGGGTATAGTGTGTCCAAGTTTGCTAATGCTACACCTCTGGCCTGTTTTATCGCTGTTATCAGCGGCACA